AATATACACTACAGCAAAATATGTTGTGTAATAACATAATGGTTGCGTGTAGCAATCTAATCAGGAAAGATACTGGGGGGGAGAAATTGCAGTTAATCATGCTGATAGAGGCTTACCAGCAATAAACTCTTCTAACTTTAGTACTGGAACTTTAATAAATTTTTTGGAAATATTATCATCTAACCATGTAAAGCAGAAGGAAACAATGTATTGCATTTTTAAACCATAATGCTTAAAATCTTTGCCCTAATAACTTCAAGGAATTAAGTTTTTATCTAATACACAATCTGATTCTGCAAATGACACTGTGTGAAATTACATCTTCGTGAGGAGCATGACGCAGGGTCAGGCCTGTGAAAGGTTCGCATGTGTCCTTCAGACCATCTGGGTAGTACTGCAATGTAATTGTTAAATGAAAAGTGTGTGCTAGAGCTTGGTTCAGTTAGTGTGTGATCATAAGAGACTGAAAGGAACAAATGGAGCTGTGATCTTGAAGGTACTGAACTGCTGGAGTGCATTTAAGCCATCCTCATGCAGGGCCATAAAGTAATGGCTGCTTTGCCTTTTGCATGAGTGGCATTGAGCAACTTTAAAAGATCAGTTTACGTGTAGACAAACATTTAGGTACCAAAATTCATTAGGAGGAGTCAGTGTTTCCCCTTGTACATGTTGTCCTGTTGTATAAAGAGGTTATTTTTGCCAAACCTAGAAAATTCTCCATAACCCGTTGCAGGCTGGTTGTGAAAGCAACATGTAATCTGAGTATTTGCATTTGCTAAAGAACATCCTGCTTTTATAGGAACCATTGAAATCTCAATGGGGGGAAAAATTTCTTCAGCTCTAGGGTCGATCTGTGTATCAGAAGTTACATCTTAGTACATGTAATTTCACAGTGGTTGACCATCAGGTTAAAAATAGTCTTGTTGACCACACACAGCGTAACGTTTTTTAAATTAAAATTTAGCTGTGCCGATAGCTACAGAATTATTTGTTAAAGTCAGTGCTTATAGACACCAGCAGCTAGGGGATAGACTTAAGATATTAAATAAATCAGTCCTATGGAAAAGACATACTTTCTTATAATTGTATTTCCCAAATACTAGCTAATGCTGCTGGAAAGAGTGGTTGACAATTATTTTTAGCTTCATAAAGATCTGTAAGTTTTCAGGGAAAAAATGAAATAGTCCCCCTCTCCCCCTCTCTCCCTCTTTTTCTTCCCCTTTTCAGAAAGTACGTGCCTTACTGAATGGATGGCAAAATGGTTTCAGCTGGTATACTGTGCAATGAAGTCTGTCTTAATCGGCTTCTAGCTTTTCTTGCTTTTGCTGTAATGACAATGAAGTTGGAGAGGAGAAAAGCAGTGTCTGTATTCTACAGATTTCTAAGCATAGTTGAATCATATGTTGCAGCAGTCAAGTCCAATAGAGGTAAAACAAAAAAGAGAAACATGGAAATTGAATGCTGAGACTTCCATAGTTGGGAATGCAATGCTTCACTTTTATTGTAGCATTTGCATTTTTTTAACACATGCATACCTTGCTGTGAATAAACAGCTCTAGTTGGATTTTTTTGGGGGTTTTGTTTTTAAAGCCTCAATAACAAAGTATAGATTTCCAATGCTTATATCAAAATTCACTGTCACTTGGTAGCTTGGTGCTAGGCTAGTACATTTTATCTGGAATCATCTTTGGAGAGAAACACTGCATGTGAGACATTTGCATACTCCAAGACTGCCAGGTGCACCTGTGGGGTTTTGGGGGGGAGTGTTTGGGGGGTTTTTTAAGCATAACCATGCAGATACTACTGTGATGTGATTCAGAGAACATGCTGTGATGAGCTAGTTGTGGTGCTATAATTACTTTTAGTGCTGTTTGCCGCTCTTCATCATTGACTTTCCATCTGTGACTGCTGGACATAGCACATAGAATCTCAGAATGGTTTGGGTTGGAAGGGACCTTTAAAGATCATCTAGTCCAACCCCCCTGCCATGGGCAGGGACATCTTCCACTAAACCAAGTTGCTCAAAGCCCCATCCAACCTGGCCTTGAACACTTCTAATGATGGGGCATCCACAGCTTCTCTGGGCAACCTGTTCCAGTGTCTCACCACCCTCATCATCAAAAGTTTCTTCCTTATATACAATCTAAACGTAACCTCTTTCAGCTTAAAATTGTTGCCACTTGTCCTTTCACTACAGGCCCTGGGAAAAAGTCTCCCTCCATCATTTTTATAAGCCCCCTTTATATATTGAAAATCTGCAATATGGTCTCTTGGGAGCCTTCTCCAGGCCAAACAACCCCAACTCTCTCAGCCTTTCTTCATAGGAGAGGTGTTCCAGCCCTTTGACCATTTTCTTGGCCCTCCTCTGGACTTGCTCTAACAAGTCTATGTCTTTCTTGTACTGGGGACCCCAGAGCTGGATGGAGTACTCTGGGTGGCGTCTCACCATATAAGTCTGTCCAGCTTGTTGGTGAAGACCCTCTTGTCCTACTTGGTCAGGTGAATCTCATCAGCTCCCAGCAGACCCAGCTTCTCAAAGGTAGATCTGTGATCAGAGAAGCCAAAACATAGGTATTCTCACTGCAGTGTATGAACCGTATTTGGCATATGTCATTGACCTGGCATCTCACTAAGTACTCTGAAATTAGTTACATTTTTTTGTAATATGAATTCCTTTTTTTTTTTTTTGTAGGGAAAAGGAGTTCAGGCACTGCAGAAGCAGTGCAGCAGTTGCAGCGTAGTCGTGACAGAGCACATGAATTGATTGGAGAGTTTGTGAGCTAGGTCCTGTTGTGTGTAATCTGTACTCCTGGCGTAGCTCAATTACCTCAGGTGTTTGTAGAATCACATCTTTCTTTTGAATGGCAGAGATTCATCACACGAGATTACTTGCATGGGGAGATGTTGCATTATCAAGACATCCTCTTTTTCTGCTTAGTTGTGGATAGATACAGTTGCTTTTGTCTCACAGATTATCTGCTTGCCCATATATTGATTTGTGTCCTCTAATTAAAAGAAAAATGTTAACCATTCCTGGTTAAAAACAAGCACTTACAAATAAAACTGTTTTTTTCCATGGTACCTCCACAGAATCGTGACCTTTTCCTGGATCCTTTTTGCTTGTTCAGGACATTATGATTGGACAAGGACAGTGTTGGCTGCTTTCACAAATGTTAAGACTCCAGTGTGTGATTAATGGAGAATTTGTAGATATTTATTATCGTACTGCAAATGTGTTCATAGCATTTCATCATTGTTACAGTAAGAGTGGCAACTTTTAAAAGATCTTTAACTTTTTTTTTCCCCTAGTCTGTAGTATTTTTTTAACAGCTTACTCTCTAACGACCAAAATGTAATTGATAGCTGAAAAGGGTCAAGCAAATTTCAGGTAAAGATTGGAGTATAATCAACTAACCTCATGTCTCTTGGAGAGATCTTTCTCATAGTAGAGCAGGTAAGGAGTTCACCAAGAGAAATAATACCCTATTCCTAGGATTTACTGCCTTGTTTTTTCTAGCAGGGAAGTATTTCCATAAAATGACTGTTAGAAAAGTCGCGTGCCCATGCTTGCTGTCCTTCAGAAAAATTCTGAGTCAGCAGGATGGGAACCAGATGGATGAGAGAAGCGGAAGCATAATGATGGGCAGAAAATAATAAAAAAGTGCAGATGTGCAGGGAGAGGGAACAGAGATCTTGAGAACTAAAGCATAAAGGAGAAGATGATTCAAAATGCATTATAGAGAGGACATATATATTTTGGGCTTGAAAAATATACATGGAAAAAAAATTTACTATTCCCTAAGCCCAAGTGACTTCATTTTAGACTTGCTTTCTGTTTGTTCCCCAGAGGACATATGCCCAGACCTCTGTAAGAAATCTGGCTGCCAGCTGGCACAGCACCTTTCAAAGAGGCCTAATTTTATATTTTCAGAGCCTGGCAATATCAGCCACCTCCATCTGTAATAGGCTGTTGTTTGTAATATCTGTTAAACTGCATTTTAACGTTTAATTTTAAGTTTCTTTGCCAACCTATTAATAAGGGCCAGGCTATTGAGAGCTGTCAATAGGGCCAAAAGAAGTGTTCTAATTTTGTGAGATCTGTGGGTTCATGCTCTTGTTTTTCATGAATTTACATCTTTTGGTGGGCTCTAGGATATTAACTTGTATGATGAAATATCATCTGCCCATATTTTAAGTCTGTATTGAGAGGAGGCTGGAATAAATCCTTTGTAGTAATAGAAGAAATCTGCTGTATTGAATTAAGTGTTAAAATTGGAGGCAAAGTTACTTGGAGTACTGACTTTCATTTTTCTGGTATAGAAATCAGAAAGTATTGAGCACATCATCATATTATATAATGATATGTCCAGCTAAATAGAATTTACTGTGGGTAGTGAGGGAACAGATTCAGTTCTCTTGCTCTGGCTCTACCTGCTGCAACAAAATTTTGAAGCCGTCTCTGGCCAGCTTGGGGAGGGTGTCTGGGGAGCTCTCTTAGTAGCAGGCAGAGCTGCTTTTGCAGAGTTCAGGTGATGACAGGTGGCCTATTTGCGTTAATTTAATACGAGGACGAAAGCCACCTCAGATCCGGAAGAGGCAAAATGGCTGCTGCCATGTTGCAGCCACTGCTTCAGTATGGGTCTGCTTTAGTTTGTGTGAACTGTAGCTCCAAGCTTTCCTTGATTTCAATCTGTCTTAAACCTTGGCAGAGTCAATAAGTTGTTGTAATCACCAGTAACCAATGTTTGATATTCATGTAAGTCTAACTGAGGAAAAAAATTTATTTGTTTTGGGTATAATTCCAGAATACTTTGTAATAGTCTTTGCATTAGAAGAGAAAACAAATATTTATGTACAGTAACAGTAAAATACTGCACCCAGAGCTTAATTGAGATGGATTCTGCAGCGTATAGCTGTCATCTTGAAAAGTTTGCCATTTATATGACATTTATTAGTGTTTCTTTGAATTCCTGTTAATATATTTTCTGGGTTTTTTTCAGCTCTTCGTTGTAGCCTCCAGTTTCTTGGAAACGTTGCAGCAGGAAACGGAGATTCCCAGAACAGCATTTGGAAGTGTGCTTTCCCAGATCTCTTCTTGTAAGCATGGATGCGGGTTTTTTTAATAATGTAATATATGTGGTTATGTTCAAATCTTTTGTACATGATAGTTGTGCCTCTAGTAGCACCATGAAGCTCTGAAAAATAACTTTGGGGAGAATGGGACGGTTGAGACCATATCCTGTAGATGTTTTTTTTGTTAGTCAACCGCAGGGGTCAGGACCTTTAAAAACCTGCTTGTTCTAAACTAACAGTAAATTGATTTTAACAGAAACTGGAAGAAAACTCTATTTCAAATTATGAACTTGAAACATAAGCTTTATTTCAGAGGTGTTTTCAAGTAGTTATACTCATTTCCAAGAACACAGCTTTTTCTTTATTCACTTTGCTGCTGTGCAGACCTCTCAGTATTTGTGGATCAGATGGAATCTACAAAAGTGACTTAATCTTTGCGTCTTCCAATCCTTTTGCCCTCCTCCTAACATCACCAAAATATCTTTCTGGAGGTTTGATGACGTATGTGTAATGAAATATTACATAAACGGTTTTGTGTAGACACATGACAATATTGTTGATGTGTTTGGCCACATTTTTTGTAGTGACCTAGTAACAAAGGCACATTCATTCAATTTGATACTCGTTCTGAGTGTGTTTTTTTGGAGCCCACTTGTCAGCACTGGATGTAGAAAGACCTTATAATAGAAGCAGATAATTATTATGGTTTCACCCAATCCGTAGATCTCCAGTTAGCTCCAATTTAGCATTAGTTTTGTAAATTGCCTGTAAGTTTGACCTTTAGCTAGGAGTTGGATGGTTTTTTTTCAGATGACTTTTATCCCTCTTAGGCAATGACAAACTTAGGATTCTCTAAAAGTCAGCAAAGAACAACAACTCAATGAGCTGAATGTCACTAGTCTGTTTTTCCAGGGTCGGTTTTAACTTACTCTCTTAACTCCTTATTTTCTCTTGAAGGACATGCCTAATGTACAGTGATGAGAAAATTGTTGCCTATTGTTGTATGGTCCTGTTCACCTGCCTTAATTCAGCCTTAATTAGGTGCTTTTCTAGTTTAAATATCTGTATTAAAATGTCTAAATTTGTGACACTGCTAAATAGTAAATGAAGATCTGTTTAGAAGTTAGTAATTTGGTATAGAGGTAATTTTCATGATACTTTCACTGACTGTTTTGATTTCTTTTAAAATAAGACTACAGTTTTGTTGAGGATATAGTATAGGCAGGAATTTTGAAATCATGGGGGTTTTTTTAATGAAACAGGGTTCTAGAATGCAAACTAATTTATACTTGTGTGCTGGTTTGTGGAGAATTTTGAAATAAAGTTAATGCAGAATATAGTCTTACAGACTTTGGTTATTAGGGCATGCTAGGAAGACTTACATGACTAATGCTTGTGAGTACTACATAAAACGTGGGATTTTTTCTTCTTTTTTTTTTTTTTGGACAAATCTGTTGTCTAGTGCAACATGCAATCATTTTATACGAAAACAGAGAAGATGTTTTGTGTGTGAGTCTTGCACGTTTCATTTTCATACTTTAAGAGCACCTAATCAGTGGTTTTACTCCACTGAGCTTTTATATTTTTTGCTGCTGGCCATTCTTGTAAATATTCTTGTCAATTATACATTTGAGAAATGTTCTGCCCTGCATCAGCAAGGATACACATTCAGTTAATTGTTATATGAAGCATTCCAAGGGGAAAAAAAAGGAAAGTTTATATGTTTTTGTAGCATTCTTTTGAAGGTCATGTATAAATTCAAAATTTAATTAGGAAGAATTGTCAGGGTTTTACTAGTTATTTGGAAAGTCTCTAAACAGAGTTAAGATGATTAAATGACATTTGCTTTTCATTCAATAGTTTGCTTTTGTACTGAAAAAATTACTTTAAAATTTGTTTGTGGCTGGGCTTTTTTCATAACCAGGTCAATTTGCTTAGGACATAAATAGTTTTCAGAAAGCAAACTTAAAGTTTCAGGGTCAGGCGACCAGACTTCTATTTCAAAAGTGACAAACTGAATCTTTAATTTTGGCATCTGTCAATATAAACACATGTGAAAGATGGCTTTTCAGATAATTATCTAGATTATCCTTCATTTTCTTTATGTATTGAAGTTATGCTGAAATGTATTTTGACTGAGATATGAAAGCCAGGGAGAGCGGGAAGAGGTTGTCATGCTGTTAATTTTGTATTTTGAAGGTAATTTCAGAATAAATGCAGCATCAAAATAAATGCCGAGGTATCCATTTCCCTGATCTTTCTGAAGTGCATTCTGTTGATGTTACAATGAAAATGTCTTACTTCCACTACGGATGTTTGATGTGGTTGGGAAATGGTCTCTCTTCAGAGTAGTCTTGAAATTAAAAAGAGGCAAACTTCTATACAAGATATAAGACCATGATGAAGGAAAAGAGATGGGTAGAAAAGAGTAATCCTAGTTCTGCTGTAAGGCAGTTGCAGAATGTTTGCCCTCTAATTCCGCTCAGAATGCTGAGTTCCTCATACAGTAAATATATAAAAAGCATTGGAATATCTTCCAGGTGTTAAGAAAATAATACATTTGTTTTTCTTTCATAGACTTAACTAGCCAATGTTAAAGTACTCAAAGCTCATTATCAGTTTTCCCAACTGAAAGAAAAAGTAATGAGGTTGTAGCATAAGTTTCTTGGCATTTTATACAGTTGTCTTGAACTGAATTATAAATGGAAATCTTTCAATAATGTTGGCACTGTTTTCAAGTCAACACAGGTAAAGCGCGTTTACAATTGCAAAATCTAAACCAAAAAGTGTATCGCAACAGTGCAGTATCAAGCATTGAATAGGTATTCAAACAGCATTACCTTGAAAGTGAAAAAGATGATTCCTTGCTAGAACGGGACTGATTTTTCTGTCTCTTTGTAGCTCTAGAGCCTTTTTCTGATTCATCTTGTACCTATTTCCTCCCATTTCTTGATCCGCACTTCATTTGTTCTTCTAATACTCCATTTGTTGTATGTCCCATCTCAAGAAACACATTTACTCTCTGGTTCTCCCTCATGTTCATCTGTTCTTATTGTGAGGTAATATTTGTAATGGCTGAGGGCAATCTAAATGGCAAAATACGTTCTTTCTTCATATTAGATTTAAAAAAAAAAACAAACGTGATTTCCATTCTGAAGGAAACTATGATATTTATATATTAGAATACATGTAGTATCTTTAGTCTACTTGGTGCGGAGGGGGAGGTAAGAAAGTAACATTTTCACATGCTTTTTTATTTAAAAAAAAAAAGTTGGTGTAAGAGGTTTGTTCTTCATATTTTTAATGGAAACCTGCTAGTATGTACTCTTCCTTACGCAACACTGATTTAAACAAAGTCTTTTTTTTTTTCTGGTTTTGGTTATGATTTTTTTTCTTTTTCATTTCCTCTTCCAGTTAGCCATAGGTCAGTGTGTTACACTAATGTAATGCTTTTATATTAGACCATACGTGCATCTTGTGAGCCTGTACTACATAAAGTATTTCTGTGTAGTTAAAGGTTTGGAAGAGCCTACAAAGATAGTAGTTTTGTTTTTGAGTAGAACAATCATTGTAAAGTCTTGCAATATCTTTTTTTTTTTCTTTTTGCAAATTACCGAGTTTTTTCTTGTTACCTTGGCAGTAGTAACACAGCCTATTTCATAGGCAACAAGTTGTTCTTACTTTAGCTTTAATTACAGAGGATATTTGCTTCATCTTATGAATAACTGACTACATTTTCACAAGGTACCTGCAGCTTGTATCTTGGATTCTTCTTTGCATTTTTCTATTTTTTTTCCATTTGTAAAGCACATACTGTAAGTGTGTTTATGAGTATCACAACTGGTGTCACACAGCTGAACCTCCCAGTCCAAATAGTTTTCTCTTTTTTCTAGAATATTAGAATTGATTTGAGGGTAATCTTGAGTTGGGTCTGAAAGCCTGTTTCTCTTATTAGCACTAATCCTTCTTCTGTGAGATAAATTTGGATAGATACAATTGTGTAATGTATGATGATACCTTCTGTTGCTTGCTTTCTTGCTTTCCTTTTTACTATTGCTGAGCAGCAGGAAACAAGCTAGCCAGCTCTTGTGCTGACTTTCTTGTGTCCTGCCTACTTGAGCAGTTTTCTCTGCCGGTTCTCCAAATTTAGGTGAAAGCTCTACTGATGCCAGCCATGTTGCATCTATTTTCTGTAGGAAACTCTGGTGAACTTTTCACCGCTCTCCATTTACTAGCGTAAGGCACTGCTCTGTTTCTGTGATCAGATGGAGCAGGCAGTGTGCAGAAATGGCTTCCTAACATGTACTTCGCTGTGAACAGAAAAGCTGAACAGTAAACAGGATTTCTTGTTTTGGTAGAAGTAGTGTTACTTTGGCTGATGAAAGCTGAAGATTCTTGTCTTGAATATAAGAACATTTTTTTGACAATGATAAGTGAAAAGCTAAGCTTTGTCCTTGGGTCAGCGTTGTTCCTTACATGTAGTTCCTTACATGTAGTAATGCTGTCTCTTTAGGACAGCTTTTGAAATTTTATAGGTCTGCATGTGCCTTATGCCGATATTAGCTATTCTTTCATTAGAGCCCTCTGTTTCTAAAACATTTTTGGCTATTGAATGAATTGAGTTTATTGCAGTTAGGTGTGTGAAAGACAGACACAGATGTTGTTTTGATGATACGTTTAGAATAAGTTTCAACTTTGGTGTATTGCTGCTTTGGCTTTGGTGTCCATTTTTATCATTGCATATAATCTTCCTGGTTTGAACTAATTCCTGTTCATTACTAGAGCACTTCCCCCCGCCTCCCATCGAGGAACTAGGTTACTTTCTGATATGGAAGAGTATGCGTGAGAGATAATCATGTAAAATTGCATAAAAAGATTTCTGTCCCTTTTCTTATGAAGTTGAAGCTAAGCAAGCTTTGGATGCCTCTCTGGCTGGACTGTAGAAAAAATATTTTGTCAGCAATTCATTAAAAATTTGGAGCTGTACTTCAGCTCTCACTGAAGTACATACCACTAGGATTGCTTAAATGAATTTACATAGCCGCGGTATTTGCAACAGAGCCAGTACTCTGTTGTAAAGATTTGGGTCCCTTGTGCCACAGCTAACAAAGTGCACAGCAACCATTTTAAAGTGTCTGTTATGGCATTATATGGCTGAGCTGAAATACAAACTATTCTTCTTCCAGGAGGTTATGCTCACTGCTGGACTCACAACTGACTGAAATGAAGATGTTCTTACTTTTAAAGTTAAAAATACTACTTAATTCCTGCCTACCTTCTTGTCTCTCAGCTGGAGCATCCGGTTTCATATTACATCAAATAAAAAGTGAATGCCACATGTGTTTATTCCTCTTGGCTGGGCTTTCTTGCTGTCAAATGCTGCTTTTAGGTTTTGAAAAACTTTCTTTGAATAACCAGGCAAGTTTTGGTTATAGGGAGAACTTTTATTCACGATTTTATTCCCTTTTCTTTTATTGTGCACTGAAATTTATGACTTAATGTTCCTCTAAGTTAGTATCCAATGAATTCCACAAATAAACACTTACGATGCTCAAGTTATTTTTGCAGTTGCTGCCATGAACCGTTAGGACAGAGAGAGGACATCCAGGACAAATATTTGGATTTAAGGCCACTGGCTGAACTGTAGTGTCTCCCATGGGGTCCTCACTACTGCATTCGGCTAGTACATGTTGGGTTTTCTACTCTTCACCCATCACAGGAGGGCAAGCGCATCTTTAAAATCTTTTCTTGGTGAATTTGCAATTCCTTCTCTGTTCATGATCCCACATTCATGTTTAGAGTCCAGTTTTCCATCTCCAAGCTGGAAGAGTCCTTAAGGAAAGTTCAGGGGGAACCTCTTTCCAAGTGTGACGCCTTTGGCTTCTCCTTCCAGTCTCGCAGCAGTTCTATAGGGAGAAGGCTTTGTCAGAGGAAATCTGAGATTATTCTGAGCAGTTCCTCAGAGCTCCTTTTTTAGAAGCAGCTGTTGGTCACGGACCTTTTGCGATTCCTCTTCTGTCTGCCGTAAACACCTCTCCCAG